CCCTCTGTCCCCTCTCCCAGATCTTGTTTGCCACTCTCCCAGATCTCGCTCGCTCACTCGCCTCTCTCACTTTATACAATTGATCTTTTTGTATATGTATATCAAAGCAGATTATACAACTGCTTTCTTTTGTATATGTATAGTGAAATATATATATTTATGTTTGCTATGGTGTAAACTTTGCTATAGCATACAAATATGAATTTTGTGTTTGTTATATGTGAAAGTTGCTCGAATAAGCTCTAAAATTTATCACTACTATGGCAATTTCACATTCGTGGTAAATATTAACAATTAGTTACGAAATTTTATTTTGGCAAAAAAATTATGGCTATTTCATTTATTTATTGCCACAATCTTTATAAACTGAAGCAAAATTATTTATTTAGCTACAAATATTTCTTCAAATAACTTATGGTGGCTAAAAGGTTGTTATCACTATCGTAAATTTAAACTCCCGGTAAAAATTAACAATTAGCTACGTAAATTTTATTGTAACAAAATATCTATGGCTACTTCGTTTAATTATTGCCATAATATTTTATAACTTGAAGCAAATATATTTATTAGCTACAATATTTTGTTTCAAATAACTTATTGTGGCTAATGAGTTACTATTGCTATAGTTACTTTTATCGTGTGGCAAAAACTTATATTTAGCTACATAATTTTATCGTAGCTGTAATATTATAGCTATTTAGGTAATTATTGCCACGACAATTGATAATTATAGCAAAAACTAGATTTTAGCTTTATCAATTTAATATTCGTGGCTAAGAAATTTGATGAATTTTTAGATAGCCACGAAATTTGAATTTTTGTGGCTATTACTAAATAATAGCTACGAGTTTTAGATTGGTAGCTTAGATTCCATAGCTATAAATACATTTTCTTGTAGTGCCACTAGCTTAACTTAAGTAATCATCTAAAAAGTATAACCCTTTAATACCCATGATGGCTACATGGTTTATGGAGACTTGAGTTAATATGAACTCGCATCCCTATATCGGTGCTCAATACTACTCCCAAAAATATACTTAGCTCATATGTTTTTAAAACAACTTCTTTCTTTGGTTTGAGATAATTACTCAAAACTTAGCTTAAAAGTTCCCTTGGAATCGATGTTCCCTTTATTACTCAAAACTCTTTTGGAAATCTCAGTTTCCTCT